AGGCCTGGTGCAATATGGTTCATGGGGTCACGAAGAGTCGGACACGACTTAACGACTAAACAACAACAACAATTCTTCCAAACAGAACTCATACTATCATTCACAGAGCATGGTTGAGTTTGCTGCCTAACAATCTCACCTGACATATACCTGGAAAGGAAAAAATTAAGGCATGCTAAATGAAGACTTACATAAAGCTCCAAACCTTGTTCCATGGGCTTTGATGATAGACCATTTGAGCTAAGCAATGCATTTTTAGCTTCCCAATCTCTCCCACTTCACTCGCCTCACCTTGGGGTCCTTTTCATAGTAGTACTGCTGGGTCCGGATCCACCTGCCCACCAGGTGATCCCGTACAGTGTGGGCCAGGGCAAAGTAGTAGTCACGAGGGGTGGCCACATTGCGATCCTTAACAAGGGTAAAGTGTAGATGCCGGTTAAAGCCCTTTTTCAGCTCAGCCACGTTCTCCACTCCAACAATGCCACGGATGCTGATCTGTTTCCGCTTCTCCTGGTCAGTCAAGGGGCGAGACATGGCTGCAAAGGCTGTGAGCTGGAGAAACAGAGCCGAAAGATTTTTATCTGATATGCTTTCAGTGCCAACAGAGCACTGACCTCTAGGTCCTGCAGGCAACAAGCCCCAACTTCTCTCCTCCCCACTTTGGGACTAAGTTCTCATTGCAGGGAGGAGTTTAATGGCAACAGTGTCCAGCTTTAACCAGGCCTCCAAAGCTGAATTACAGCCTGTCTCCAAGGAGCAGGGTGGGGGGCAGAGATCCAGAGTCAAACTCAAATGTATTGGGCTGGGTCCAACTGTAGGTAATTTTTCTTGTCATATTCAAAATGCTGATGAAACCAAGTTTAAAGAAATGCCTCCAAAGGAACTTGCAGCATCTGAATGCTGACCCTGTTCAAAGAGTGCCAGAGAGGCAAAAACGAGTAAACATCCACTCAAAAGGGCTTTTCCTCCAAAACAGAGGGAACCCTGAATTCTGGCTATAATACTGCAGAGGAATGTAGGACAGAATGCACACTACAGAATACTCCCTGCTTATAGAAAATGAGTAGTCTGGGACAAAGATATTAGAGTCTCCTCTTTCTTAGGAGGAACAATGTTATAGGAGTTCTCGGTTGCAGCTTTAGGTGGGACAACCCAGAACCAAGTTGTCCATCTTGGGGAAAAATAGGTCAATATCAGAGGGAAGGGCAAAGAAATCAGAGTATTTGGGAAGAGAACTTTCCAAACTGAAGGCTCTCCAGACTGCAACTCCTGACACATCAAGCCAGCAAAATCATACTGGCAGTTGTTGGAAGCTGTAGTCCAGAATATCTAGTAGACAGCAGGTTGGAGAAAGCTGGGATAGAGGGACAAACTTTTGCTTTGCTGCCTACCTAGAGAGATCAGAAAAAAGATCTAATGTTTTTGTTTTCTGGCATTGAACACACACACACACACAGAGCTATTACTTAAACAAAAATGTTAAACTGGGTATAAGACAGTAGGAGTAGAGCCATGTTAGTCTGTAGCGGCCAATAATCAGGAGGAGTCTGGTAGCACCTTTTCGGACTAACCAATTTTATTAAAAGGCGTAAGCTTTTGTGAGATACAGCACATTTCATCAGATGTAAAGAGTAGATAAACTGATGGAAGATATAGATTGAGGTGAGGGAAGGGAAGGGAAGGGAAGGGAAGGGAAGGGAAGGGAAGGGAAGGGAAGGGAAGGGAAGGGAAGGGAAGGGAAGACTGGGTGGTTATGCAGATACAAGTTAAACATAGGAGGCAGATTACAAGTACCATCTCAGTTAATAATTGGAATGTGTTAAAAACTTATGGCGTTTGTTAACACTTTCTGAGATATCCTGAAATCTGATGTATGTGAGTTCAAACATGATAACTCAGTAGAGCCAGGAAGGACATATTAAAGAGGTTAATACCCCAAACCAGGGGTTCTGAACTTTTTTGTGCCATGGACCCCTTTGAGAGTCTGGTGAAAACTACGGATCCTTTCTCAGAAAAATGTATTTAAATGCATAAAATATCAGAGCATTTTAAGCTCCCAAGACACTCCATTACAGTTCTCAATAGCCATTTTGGAAACAAAAAACTTTAAGAGCACAAGCTTATATCTTTGAAAAAAATGTGTTAGTCTAAAAAGGTGCTACAAGTGTCCTGATTTTTGGTTGTAACATACACTCGTTTTGTTGCCTGGCTTGGGGCAACACTATTGCAGCATAAACACCACAAGAAGCACATTCAAATACTGAGAATGCCATAAGCGAGATCAAGTGCATCCCAGCCAAGAGATGTCTGTTGAAAATTGTAGATTTTCCTTTTCCAATGTGGTGCCCTCCAAATGTGTTGTACTACAAATCCCTTCATCCTCAGCTACCATGAACAGTAACGGTAAAAGCTCCTGTTGGGGATAATGGATTTTCAAATAGGAAAACATCTTATTAGAATTACTCAATACACGATTACCGCAGCAAGACTTCTTTATGCACAATTTTGGAAAA